CAGAGATTAATACAGGCTGCTCTATAAACCCCTAAATGACTTTTTTAAAAAGTCAGAATATACAGCAAAGTATGATGCGACGTTAGAGTTTAATATCCCAAGCTTTAGTATATTCATCTTTTGGGAATCCTAAAAAGGGAAATCAAACACAATGGGTTACAGTAATTAATTTATCAATCGTTTTACTGTGGGAATAAGGGGTTTACTTTATTAGCTCTCGGGATAGGCAGTGGAGTCAATTAAAGAAATCTGCCTATTTCTTACTTTTGAAACAGGAGAAAACTACCGGAGACAAGTCAATGCATTCTATAGCTATAGATAGATATATGTGCGTCCCTTTAGCGAGTATGTTTGTCCATAAAAGTGGAGCTACAACAGGGTCATATCGCCAGTGAACTCATGCTCGGAGCTTGCAAGTTTATTACCATCAGTATTCATGAGACTGGAAGTACCCACTAGGAATAGGAATAACAGCGAATATTACAATAAAATAAAATATATTGCCAGGCCCCTGAGATGTCCATACCTCTGCGACCGGAGAGAGACTGACTGACTGACTTTGTGTGTGGTTAGGTATGTGTATTTGCAGGTGTAGCCTGGGGCTGTATTGGTGACTGTCAGAGAAACTGGAAAACGAAGAAGAGAAAGAGGTGCACTGAGGACTGAACAACAACTCAGCCTAGACGTATTTGCTCACAAAGCCAGCAGAGAGAGGAGTGAAATCTGAAGTGCAAAACACCACAGTCGGCTGGATCCTGCGCCCACTGAAAAAAATGGTAGTTTTGCCATTTATCTCAGTGGAAGCAGGATCGGGCTCATTACAGGCTTTCTCTTTTAAAAAGTATCTGAAGGACCGAAAGAGGATTGTGCTTTAAAACCATCCCTTTGAAACGTTTTCTCTTCCTCCCCGCCCTCCACCCCCGCCCCGCTCTTCACAAACGTGTCCAAAGTACTGCGAACGAGGTTTGGTTTATCTTTTGAGTCAGCCATTTGTTTTTTGATTATACCCGAGGAGCCCCGGAGACTCAAATAATTGCTGAGACTAAAACAAGTGTGAAAGTCCTCGCCTCTCTCTACCTTCCACTCCCGTTCTTGGCCTCTGTTAGAGAGAGATCAGAGAAGAAAGAGTTGATTGAGTCTTAAACTTTGAAACTATGTTCAATGCCTGAGGACTCCAACAGAATAAAAAGAAGGGCAGGACAAAAAACTGGCCACAGAACATTATCCAAACCCGAGTTACCGAATGTACATTAGCAGGCAGGGCCGGGGTATCAGTCCTAAATTCAATTGTCTTTTACAGATTCGGGAACGACAAACTTGAGTGAATGGGGCATGAGGCAGCATGGGGCCCCGTATCAATGGGGAACTGTCCAGCACAAAAAAGCTCCTGAAAAACATGATGTCGAGTACCTGCGAGATATTTGCTCTTAACACACTCCCCACCTACTGCATGGGATTTTTGCACAATAAATATGCCCAAGACTATTTGTAACAAAAGAGTGCACTATAACTAGCCTGCAATGCATGTGGATACATCTACAGCCAGGTAGAAGTTGTACTTCCATTGGTGTTTGCCAATCTGAGTAAACCAACAGGTGTTATACTGACATACTGCCCAGACATACTGTCCATTTCCCCTGCTCCTGCGCTAGGTTGTTACCGCTCCAGGAAGACCTGTTACAGGGAGAACACAAACCATTGGCTTCGAACAGACGTTACAGGTGGCGATGGCAGCGGTGGGGGAGGGATAGCTCAGTGGTTTGAGCATTGGCCTGCTAAACCCAGGGTTGTGAGTTCAATCCTTGAGGGGGCCATTTAGGGATCTGGGGCAAAATTTGGGGATTGGCCCTGGTTTGAGCAGGGTATAGGACTAGATGACCTCCTGAGGTCCCTTCCAACCCTGATATTCTATGAGTCTATGAAAACCAATCCTAACATTAAAACCCTTAATAATATTCCTCTGGGGCTAAAAAGAGTGAGATGATGAAGTTGCAGGAATACAAAGTCAAGGCTGAGCTTTCCGAAGTAAAGGGAAATAAATGAACCAAAAGGAACTTGAATTGCTGGTCTACCTGGTAAACTTTAAAGCAAAGGCTGCCCTAAATCAACGTCTTCTATATACTTTTTCACCCAGGGCAGATATACCCAAGGCTACATTCTCTACTTATAACTGTGAATAAACGTATTGGTTTGCGGCAACCCAAGTTGGCCTGCTACAATGCAGGCGCCATCTAGAAGTGGTGCAATCGCTACCACGTGTCAGTCTTTCCCAACCAGCTAAAACCGAAGGGTGATATTATTGACTCTACGGGCCTTCTGACTAAAGGTCGAAAGCTCACGGAAGGCTGCTGTAGAGGTAAGAAGTTAAGGGTTTACAAAGAGGAGCCCGGAATCCGCGGTGTGATGAGCAGCCTCAGAATTTGTAGCCGGAGAGAGAAGAGTCCGTGGCTCTGGCTCATGTACAGATTTCATCATTTCTAGTGGACTCTCGCCTAGTGTGCCAATTCCTAACCGCCACCACCACCTTCCTCTAGGCACAGGTTCTCTCCTTTCTCCTGCACGCCCTTAAAAAAAGCCACTGTAACTGATGAGTATAAGAAATAGAACCACTAAACACGTGTGGGCCAAGCATATCTACCTGTTTGTCACTATATCCATTTGTGTATGCGGTTGGATCTGGAGAACATACTACATGATATCTTGGTTTGCGAGAAGGGGAAAAAGTAAGCCCATGGAATAATCCATAGACAAAACATGCCATTTTCTCCTTCTTTTATCATCACTTTAACAATCTTCATTAACACTGAGCGTTCCCTCTACCAATGTACACTGGTGAGTTTACTTGGCCAGCGTTCTGGCTAACCAGATACATTTGTCCAGCTCTGAGTGTCTCCATCTTCAGCGTCAGGTCAGAAGCCCATTGTCTTTGTATGGCTGATTGGTTTACCGTTATATCTATTCTATTGGCAAAGGAATGTGGGTTGTTTTGCATCAGGCTCCAGCACGCATTTTCACCTCAAAACAATGTATCAAATGCACCATTTCCCCGGGTGCTGATCCTCAATTTATAAAACATGGCAGCTCAAAAAGCTACGGTAATTCATGAATCGTTAATAAAAGCATGTTAGTTATCATTTTGTTCCTCTTAAACAATGATTTCGATACAGGTTTCCCCCCTTAAAACCAGAATGTGTCAGTTTCTAGTTCATCCCCCTCCTAGATAAAGTTGCATTCAGCAATCCCTGGGGAGACAGTAATGGATAGAGACCGGCTCCCTCTCGCATCCTTTTCTTTCTTTCTTTCTTTCTTTCTTTCTTTCTTTCTTTCTTTCTTTCTTTCTTCCTTCCTTCCTTCCTTCCTTCCTTCCTGGCTGGATGAGAAACTGGAGAAAGCCATATGATGACAAATGTGGACTTTACTTGGGATTTTAATAAGTACTTTGTATATGTGTGTGTTTGAGAGGGGTATATGTATATATGCATAGTATACGAATATGTATATATGTACATAGACGAATCTCAATGAATGAGAGATACAGCTATTCGGACACTCTTTAAGGGTGGCACATGGCAGATCGGTTATCAGATCACTGCCTCAAACAAACACCCGGCTGCTTTTTCCTGGTGCCTGTCTTTAGCACTCCTGGAGCAGACGTGATAACATCTGGGCTATCACCCAGGGTTATCATTAGAGTGCCCCAGTGGACTGGCTTCACCTGTGTTGTTCCCTTCGGATTCAAATTAATCCCAGTTGTTGATCATAAACGTGAGAGACACATTTACAGGTTGATTAATTAAGGGGTTTGGCTGCCACCGGTTTTAACTACATACAGTTAATTTGAGAATTCCACTCTAAAAAAGATCGGGCCATAACCCAAAATATTAGTCATCAATATATTTGTGAATCTTTACTCTATTCTTTCTTCCTAACCGTTTCATCTAAATGCAACACTAAAACTGGGAAGAAACACAGACAAAAAATAATTGCAACAATGTTATTTTCCAGCCTCTTCCTCCTTTTCCTTTCTGCAGTCATGTCTATAAAGGCGATTCAGACTAGCTTCCCTGTGTTCTCTCTTCATAAAAGAAACCAAACTACCCGTAGTTTTAAAAATAAAAAGGCTTTGTGATTATTTTATGCTTCAAGTCATGCCGGAGTGAGACGTGGGTTTTCACACGATTAAAGAAGAGAGATTTTACAGGCTGCAAAAAAGGAAACGCACAATTTCATTTCAACAGTGTTTCCCATGTAGAAAGCACATGCTCCTTGTGGGCTAAGTGGCTGTCACTAGCGGTGCCTGACACAATAATATTTGCAACAAAACTAGATGGGGAGGGGGGAATGAAATTATATGGAAATCAATAGACCCTGACTGCTTCAAACCAATGTCTGTCACAATGATTACTCTCAAGGAGCCTATTTAGAATTCTTAAAAGTAACAGGCTTAGGCTGGAAAACTGTCACTTTCTGTGTTGAGAGTCCTCAGCACAGGGACACACACGTCTCTCTGAAGGACTACACAGGAGCACAGGAAATTAACACCTCTTTCGCTACAATCCAGTTATTATTTTAAATAATGATAACTATATGTAATTAGACACCATGTATAAGCCAAGTACGAAATCAGATATGGACATTACAAGTACCAGCACCTAAGCATGCACAAACCCAGAGAGAGCTATATAGTCATGCACACTGCATTGTATTGCGTGTGAGATCTGGGCATGGCTACATGTACGTGTATTAGACGCAGATGCACGTGCAGGCACAGAGTACACAGATGCGCGCGTTGGTGTCCCTGTGTCCGATTAGAAAGGCGAGCAATGCGCATGTGTTGCAGCTACAGGTGTAGCACCTGCACTGTCCTTCCATCCTGGTGGTCATTATACGAGCAGCTCTCAAACTCCGGCACCGCCTAGCCGTGCAGACGCGCAAGGAGATGCAACAAGGCGCAGGGAGGGAGAGAGCGGGAGGGCGGGAGGAGGAGGAGGAGGAGGCGGCAGGGGGAGACAGCTGATGTCTATCAAAGCCGGAGCGCCCAGCTCTCGCGAGAGGGTCCGTAGCCACGAGATGTGGGGCTCAGGTGTAAGCGGAGCGCATCTCAGCCCAGCGCTAGGATAGAGCAGACAGATAAGTGAGACCGAGAGGGCTGGAGGGAGTCTCACTGTGCGGTCCTAGGGAGCTCCAAGAAACAGCGGTACCAGCAGTGGGATCTGCCGCTGCACCCTCATCCCCCCGCAGGAGGAGAGCGCCCGGAGAGCACTTTTCCCCTTACTTCAGGAGTGTTTGTGGATTTACATGCCAAGCCTTCAAGATGATGTCCATGAACAGCAAACAGCCGCATTTTGCCATGCATCCCACCCTCCCCGAACACAAGTACCCCTCGCTGCACTCCAGCTCGGAAGCAATAAGAAGAGCCTGTCTACCAACTCCGCCGGTAAGGGGCAAGCCGCTGCATCTCTCTCTCTGTCTCTTTCTCTCTCTCTCCCCCTGTATACTGCATGTATGTGCACTAATAAAAAAACCGCTGCGAGGCACATTTTGACAAGCGGCGCTTAATGTTTTTTTCATGTCCTCCTCTGCAATCATCTGAGCGCCTGTGATCTTTTTTGAAAGCGGTGTTCACACGAGTCTCCGACTTCCTCCACTTTCGGTATTAATTTTTATGACTCGGCCTCTGAAAGGAATGTTCTGTATGCGCGCTGGTGTTTGACACAATTCCCCAGCTGAGAGTTACATATCCATTTCTTCTTCTCCCTTCTTTTCTTTTTCTTTGCCCCCTCCCCCCACTTTCTGGTTCCCTCCTCTCTCTGCTCCCTTCTTTGCTGCTCTCCTCCACTCCTTGCCCGGCTTCCTCCTCTCTTTTTTCCCACCTTCCTCCTCTCTTTATTTTCTCTTCTACTCCCACTCCCGGGTCTGCTCCCTTTTATTCGCCCCTCTCTCGGCTCCCCCATTTCCTCACTCCCCCTCTCCTTGGGCTCCCCTGTGGGCTCCCCTCTCTTCTCCCTCCCTCCCTGGCTTGCTCCCCCCTTTCCGTTCCCTCCTGCCCGGTCTTCCCCCACTATATCCCCCCATCTGCCCCTGCTTTCCCCACCCTCCACTTTCCTCTCTTCTCTCTGCCCCACTTCGCCTCCCCTCTCTCCTCGGCGTTTACCCCCTCCCGCGTCTCTCTCCCATCCCACTCCCCTCCTCTCTGCCCCCCTTTCTGCCCCCCTATGCCCCCCCTTTTCTGTCGATTGCAGTTGCAGAGCAATATCTTCGCCAGCCTGGATGAGACCCTGCTGGCCCGGGCCGAGGCTCTGGCGGCCGTCGACATCGCCGTGTCCCAGGGCAAGAGCCACCCCTTCAAGCCGGACGCCACCTACCACACCATGAACAGCGTGCCGTGCACTTCCACCTCCACCGTGCCGCTGGCGCACCACCACCACCACCACCACCATCACCACCAGGCGCTGGAGCCCGGGGACCTGCTGGACCACATCACCTCCCCGTCGCTGGCGCTCATGGCCGGCGGCGGGGGGCACGAAGGGGCCGGCGGGGGCGGAGGCGGTGGCGGCGGCGGAGGAGGTGGAGGGGGAGGAGGCGGCGGCGGCGGGGGGGGGTTGATCTCCACCTCGGCCCACCCCCACTCGCACATGCACGGCCTGGGCCACCTGTCGCACCCGGCCGCCATGAACATGCCCTCGGGCCTGCCCCACCCGGGGCTGGTGGCCGCTCACCACGGCGCGGCGGGGCAGGTGGCCTCGGCGGTGGTGGGGGCGGCCGGCCTGGCCTCCATCTGCGACTCGGACACGGACCCCCGCGAGCTGGAGGCCTTCGCCGAGCGCTTCAAGCAGCGGCGGATCAAGCTGGGCGTGACCCAGGCCGACGTGGGCTCGGCCCTGGCCAACCTGAAGATCCCCGGCGTGGGCTCGCTGAGCCAGAGCACCATCTGCCGCTTCGAGTCGCTCACCCTGTCCCACAACAACATGATCGCGCTCAAGCCCATCCTGCAGGCCTGGCTGGAGGAGGCCGAGGGCGCCCAGCGCGAGAAAATGAACAAGCCCGAGCTCTTCAACGGGGGCGAGAAGAAGCGCAAGCGGACTTCCATCGCCGCCCCGGAGAAGCGCTCCCTGGAGGCGTACTTCGCCGTGCAGCCCCGGCCCTCCTCCGAGAAGATCGCCGCCATCGCCGAGAAATTGGACCTGAAAAAGAACGTGGTGCGGGTTTGGTTTTGCAACCAGAGACAGAAGCAAAAAAGGATGAAATTTTCCGCCACCTACTAAGCAAACCAACAAAACCAACGCGCCAAGTTTCCATCCCCTGGAGTGTGGGCCAAGGGAGGGGACCGAGGGGGGGACTGTTGGGGGGCTGGGAGTGAAGGGAGGGAGATTGCGGGGCGGGGGGGGGGGTGCGAGTGGGAGGGGAGATTGTGGAAAGGACGAGCGGGCTGGAGGAACCAGTGGACTTCTTGTTTGACCAGAGACACTCTCAAAATCTCCTGGGGACCAAGGAACAATGTTGGGGAGAGAAAACAACAACAACAAAAACAACAAACTTCTAAAGGAAAAGAAACGAGAACAACAAGAAGAAGAGCAAAAGTAAATGCTCTAGAAATCCATGGGGGGCACTTCTGCAGGCTGATCGCCCCCTTTACAGGAAGAGAGCGCGAGAACAACCCAAGCGTAAACACACAGAGACACACACAAAACTTACAAATAAATACATTTAAAAAAAAAAAACCCTAAGTCACCAATTTTAAAAGGAAAAAAACCAAACCACAACCCAGAAGGTGAAACTATTGGTGATGATGCTCATTGTTTTTGTTTGGGTCTCTTTTTGTTCTTTTGTTTTTAACTATGTTTTTTATGAGGCTTCGTGATGGTTCTTCTCTGTGTGACTGCGGGTTTGGAGAGGGGTGTTTTTGCAGTTCCCAAGTCGGTTCGGTGCCTGGGGGGATGTGGTAGGGGGAAAGAGAAAGAGATTCTGGCCCTTGTTTCACAAACACTAGCTAGCTAAGAGTGAATGCTCAATCACTGGCTTTATACTCCGGGAAATTTGCCCCTTCTTCTGCCCTCACTCTGCTAGGGAAGCCAACCATTTTTATAACGAGCTATATAAAAAGTTACTTGCTCCTTTGTTCCTTTTCCTCCCTGTATGTGCTTTGTGTTTATGTCTAGAGAGAGATCCATATCTCTATAGAGATACATCTAGCTAGAGATACAATGCATACGTTAGCTGTTATACTGCACTGGCTGCCCTGTTAACGTTAGAAGAAATCATGCGCTGAGTCATTAAGTCTCGGGGTTAAATGTGTCCTTCCCCTCTGGCATCTCTTCCAAATCTGTTGGAGAGGTTTAGCGGATTGCGGTGGTAGAAGGTTTCCTGTTAGTAACAGGGTTTATTTTACTAAGTAGGCAAGCGAAATCACCAATATAAAGATTTGAAACGACATTTATTTCTGCGGGGTCTGCATGTTGAGGGGGGAAACATTTGGGTTTAAAAATCGTTTATTGTAAATAATAAACGTTAGGTAGAGGAATTGTTTTGTATGGTTACATTTGCACTATTCACGGTCTCCCAAATTGGAAAGCAAAACAATTATTCCGTATTATTAAAGATAAAGGTGCATTATATCTCGGAGATTGGGGGGCGAGGGGGAAAGAGAGATGGCCAGAGCTCGTTGGATAAAATACCAGCTGTGTGCAAAAGACATTCACTGGGTCTGGTGTTATTGGAAAGGCTTTAAAAACAAGGCATTTCTGAAAAGAAAACACCCTGCTGTTTAAAACAAACAAAGACTGAAACCATGCATGACCTAAAAAAGGCACAGAAAGATCCCTGATAAGGTCTCGCTATTATTTATTTATTTATTTATTTATTTATTTGATTATTTAATTATTTTGTGTATCATTGTTTGCAGCGCAAACATTCTATGCATTTTGAAACTGAGCACTAAAAATAGAGTAGCTTCTGGTAGAACCTTTTGTGGATGGTGTAATTTCACAGTTTACTGCCTGTTTTCACCGAAAACACAAACATTCTTGTCACCGTTCTTGTATTTAGATTTTTTTTAAAAGGAAGAAGATTGTAAATATTTTCGTTAATGCAACACACACACACACACAAAATGGTTACAAACTGCAACCACGTGTGGATCCTGAAATGTCTCACTGAATTATCTACCTGTCCATGTATGTTTGCTGAGCTTTCTCCTTGGTTGTGTCTTTACTATATTACTTTTATTTCTTTCAGAAATATTTCTGTAACACAAAATACAACAGGGAGATAAGTCCCAGCACACTTACAAATAAAACAAACATGAAAACAGAATAGTTTATTATTCGGTGCATCTTTTTATGTTTATTTCTGAGTCACGGCTGATAAATTCAAGGGATAGCCGTTAGACAAATACTAATTCTACCAAAAAATAAAAATAGTGAGAGATGTATTTTTCTGCTAAATTCAGAAATCATTACTTTGAGATAGCTCTTATGTGAAAATCGGTGCTCTGAATAAAATTAACTATATATTAGCTGCGTGTGTTTCTTGAAGTTTATTCTATAACTGCAGAAAATATAAATCAAAGTAAAATTAAAAAGGACTTCTGAAGTATTTCTTTTCAGTTTGCTGGAAAGGATTATGCACCTACAAAATATGTGTAAAGAAAAAAAAAGCTTGGTGCTTTCAGGTTTATATGTTGTTCTGACTGGCCTAATTGCACTTAATTATGTAACAAAATATTTTATTTTTATTTTGTGTTAATAAATATGAAAATCATAAACTGATCTCTCCTGACGTTGTAAATGCAATTGTTCATTAGGAACGTATAGGATGCCACCTACTGCTTCAAGTGATCAAAGAACCTCTTTCTTTTCTGATGACCTATGTGACTAGATCAGATGCCAAATGTAAAAAGTTACTTAATAGCTGGGATTATTTCTTCTGTAGATTTATTTTAGCCAAATCTTTTTAATTTTGCCGGTAAATCTGTGAATCAAGACACTTAACGTGATGTTCAGAAAAGAATAAAACGTTCAAAAAGCTGTGATTTTAAGCAACTGTTGATGTTAAAAACAAAAGCACTAAAGGTATTTTTTAAAAAAATAGAGCTCGTCCACCGGAAATTGACTTATTTCTGTTGTTATGAACTTGAAATGTCATCAGAATTTTTAATAAATGCATTTGTAAAAAATATTATTTTATAGAAAAGTATTACCGGATATCATTTTTGGAGAGTCAGGAATGAACAAATAAAATAAATTACAAACTTTTTTTTAATCTTCCCCCAAACTGAAATGTTAGCGGACAACACGTTTGTATTATACAACCATGACAATGTATGTATTGAAAAGTAAAGAAGTTTCTTTTGTATTAAGTACAATCCTTATCGAGTACAAAGAAAATACTATGTTAATAAAACAGATAATGAAAAAAAAAATAACAGCTTTGCAGAGTTTCCTATTTTTTTATGGTAGGAAACTGTGCAAAACCAGAATGCTCTGCTTTCTGTTGAATAGATCTGAAAACTTCACGACAGAATCCCAAGAACAATAAGGCCTTTTTAACCAACTCACTGAAAATAGCTCGGGGGGGGGGGGGGGGGAGGAAAGTGTGCAAGGACAGGTCACAAGGACTGGTTAAACTTTTGCTTCTTAAAAAGGCTGAAAAGGGAGAAAATCCATCCCAAACTAGTGTCAAGAAATATGTAATCGCCTGAGCGGGGAATTCAAGTTGGTTCTAAAAGTTAGAATTATTCTCCATGCTGGAAAATGTTGCGGATCTATTCTAGAATATACAACCTAATATCTTCGGAACTTCTATCCAGTTCAGAACCTGTGACCCCTGCCGTGGAAGAGTGAGGAAACGTTGGTACCGTAGTCTCTTTCGTTTCATATTTTTCACATTTGCTATATCTTGTCGATTTCCTGGTCTGATTTCCCAGCCAACTCCTTAAGACCTAGACTGACTTCTGGAATTTCTGTTTAACACTTGTTCTCCAATTGCTTTCAACTTAGATGAGACCATCATAAATGAATAATAGACATCCACTGCCATGGTAGTATTGATTTTTACTCTCCTGTGATATTAAGACTAATTCGGTCCTGGTTCAACAAGTAACAGGCTCCCCAGAAGGAGCATGAAGTGTCCTACAGCACAGTTTTTATGGTCAATATCCCCACCGACCCCCACCCATTCCGTCTTCCCTCCACACAGAGACAGATTTGTCAAAAGATAATTATTTTAACTCTGACGGACTTTTGATCGCATAAAGCGGATACTGCTGCGTCTGCCCTCTCTGTTATTCCGGCTTTTCCCAAACGATTTAAAATCCCTCCAGTTATTTAGGTCTTGCTTTGCAGCCGATGTCTTTTTTAAGCTTTTATTATATTTACCTGCTGATTCAAAAAGAGGAGAAAAGCTTATTTGACTTTAAATTATCAGCAGCGGAATTCCAAATCGCATGGGAACCTATTTCCACCTGCGAGACAAACATATTATTATCAGTAATTATGTTATTTAATAGTTGATAAAATATTAGAGCTCACTGCTGTCTAGGCCCCTTCTCGGTATAAATGGGCCCTATGCCAGAAGAGCGATGGGTCTGCAGAGCAGCTTTCGATCACGTGCACTACAAAAGGATAGCTGCAAATACAATTACAGAGCCGCCTTTAATAATTCATGGACTGAGAGTTAGAAAATTAATAAAATGAATTATAACAAGAGGCTAATTAAAAACTTTAGTAATTGTTGTCAAGACAGCTTGATGGGAGGCGTTCTGCACAACCCCCCCCTGCTTTTGGAAAACATTTTTTCTTTGAAAACCTAGAATGTGAAACAGACTTGGTTCGTACTGAGAGCCGTTTTGATTTTTTTTTATATGGTTGTAGGTCATTTCTACTGGAATCTGATTGGAGTGAAAAATAGCAATCAGGTAGGTATCTGTAACATGGCAAATCAAAAAGTTCCACGGGGTAAAGTTAACCTAAAAGAGGAGCTCACGGATTAATATTTGATTGAGCAAACAGACAACAACAACACAACGCAAGTGTTTCTACACGAGCAGAGAGTGTTGCTACTAGAGAACTGTTGGCTTTGCACCATTCGGATAAAGAACGGATTTTTTCAGTCCCTAACCAGGCAAGCCCCTGTCAGTTACGGTCCGTAATATTCCTGGTCTGAGAGTTTTAAGAGTTCATCTTGTACACATCCATTCCATCCCGCCAGACTTTGGTCTGAGTAAGGGCTGCAGGATAAACCGGGCGTAGTGTGAAGCATTTGATTTATACACCTCCAAAGTCAGTGAAAGTCAGTGCTAAGATTCCACCTCAACCTTAACTTGCCCTTTGTGATTAGGCACTGCAGGGGATCTAATGTTTCTCCACTGCTAACAATACCGAGGCAAACGGGGCCAGCTTTGATCTTGGTGTAACTCAGACGAATGCGATGGAATTACACCAGGAATTTATTTGGCCCAAGCAGACCACTAATGCTGTATACCTGTCTTTAACTGACATGACTTTGCTTTTGCTAGTTTAAACAGAACTTTAACCTTGGTTTAACACGGACCTGAGTTTTAATTTCCTTTGTTTTTGTTTACGGGTGGGAAGAAACTATAGAAGGGGCAGCTTACTTGAAGCGTACAAGAGGCACTCTTAAAGCTCTCCGATCATTAACACCGGAGTAACGGATCTGAAAGAACCCTTTCCAGTCTATTGAGGCAACGCAGACTTTTGGAGAATCTTAATCCAGGGATTACTGGCATGATGGACCTTAATGGTTCCTTGCAGTCTATTGTGTCAATGCGAATTTATTGACATTTAAACTGCAGCTCCCCGTCTGATAGTTTATTGACTGAACACGTGAACAAGAAATTTGCATATGCAAAAATATGCTATACAAATTATGCACTATATCTCCTGTCCAAAATCCTTATGGTAAATAGTTGCTGAGCATACTAGTCCCTCTTGCAACATTATGATGAGTCTTTAAACTTTCTTTATCTAAATACCCAAAGGCATCGCTGATTATGGGTAAAGGGAATTTCTTTTAAAATAAACCTGGTCTTTTTGTTTGTTTTGTACAAAATTCCTAAAATAACAATAAAAAAACTCGATGCCACAAAATGTCTATCGTTTACTATTTTTATAAATTCAAATAGCCAAAGGGATTTAAACCGAATCTGAGAAATAAAAAGAAACGCTATATTGACACGTTGCAGGTAGACCGTAGCTCAGAGCTGATTTTTTGCAATCAGGTAATAAAACTCTCAAAATAGCTTCTTACAGTGGAAATGCTGACGACCCCCTGACTACAAAGGCTCTGGCATAGAGCAGTTTCCGGTGCTGGATACGAAGCTAGAGTTATAAACCTCCTGAAAATAAGGCTTAATAATGGAAATGCTGACAAGCACTAAACTATAGATATGAGACATACTGCTGTAAATATCTACATATATAGATGAAGAGTGGGGTAGATGTATACACAGGTAGCTACCCTGGATGAAAGCAAGCAAGCTAAAAGGTGTAAACTAAAACTAAAATGTGCAAGATCAGTTTTTCATTTTTAAAAAGATGTTTCCCAAGGAAAGGATAGCATGTCAACATGAATACAGTTTTATGCAAGGCTGCTTAAAGAAGACAAGACACCTAGATGCATAATTTAGGCCTTGATTATGGTCATTATGGAAATGGAATTACTAACAAAAGTTTGTTTGGTAACTAATTATCCCATAATCTCTGCCTCTCTTCACTTCAGCATAATGTATACAAACTTTTGTACACATGGATCAGAATAAAACAAGGTGTTGACAGCATCCAGCAGTGGAAATTCACTTACACAAGACTTTTTCTCACTGAAGTGTTGACAATAAACATTTAATGAAGGCAGAGACTTGGATGTCTCCAGACAGTGTCAGAATACTTTAAACAGACCATTAGCATGGCTTCTTCTACTTCAAACAGAGCACACTATACCATAACATTATAAAAATACAAAGTATGAAACAAATAATCTGTTTATACAGATATTTTAAGCTGTTTTCACCAGTTCTGACATCCCCTGTATTTAGTAACAGAAACTTACTCAATTCAGATTACTCGCGCTTAAAAAATGTTAAATACAGTTAATGCAATATTAATCGCCCTTTGGTGATATAAAATGCAATATTTTCAGGCAGCTATCGAGCTTTTCTAGAGGAAGAGCTGATGAAAACAGTCACAGCTGAATAGTGGAGAGAAAAAAGCTCTGTATTTATTGCTTTTGTTTGGCTTTTGGCTACAGAGACAGGAACATTCTAATGGGGTAAGGACATTTATTTTATCTGCAATCTATTGCTGCTCGAGCAGGAGTGGCAGATGGGGTTTGGTGTTATATTCACAGAGTAATTTAGAGCAAATCCTAATAACTAATAATGATTTATGTTAATTTCAATCACTTATGTGACTTTATTAAAGCCGTGCTGTAAAAGAAAAGGGAAAGCTGGAGAGGCAATCTGTATCTAACTGAAACCGAACCGCGTGCTTTAAGAAAGAATTAGGTTGCTTTAATGGGTTACACTGAAAATTGTGACATGGTGAAGGCAGTGTCTATGACTATTATTCAGATACAGTACAGGGCATTCTTCTGAGATTGTGCACCTTCAGATCTAATTTCCTAAACAAAGTGCCCCATGTAGAAAGCCCAGCTATCTAAGAGAATAAAACATTCTCGTATTTATGATGCAAAATGTATTGATTGTGTTAAAGGAATCTGTTATTTTAATGTGGTGGGTTGCTATGCCGTCCATCTAAGGGTTTACCAAGCATAAATCCTGGCGGAATTAATGGTAACATCCCCAAAGTATTGGATGCAAAACTTGTATTACGGGCTACATAAATGTAGGGAGATCTCCGATTCTTTGCTTACATCCTTAAAGCCTAACCCCGGATTTATTCCTCACTGGAAATCTCCAGTTAGTTAGGATTTTGTATGCTCATAAATGAATGGCTGTTTCCAAGAATCATTTGCATTTCCCCCTACTATCTTCAGTCCAATTACAAACTGGTCATATTGGCACATACACACCTAGCATTAAGTGCATTGAAGTGAGCGATGTTTTCAAAGGAGAAGGAACCGACTAGTGCTTTTCTGCATAGGAACAGTTTGATGAACTGTACAGGAGAATGCATCCGATGAAGTGAGCTGTAGCTCAGGAAAGCTTATGCTCAGATAAATTTGTTAGTCTCTAAGGTGCCACAAATCCTCCTTTTCTTTTTGCGGATACAGACTAACAGGGCTGCTACTCTGAAACCTGTACAGGAGAGGAGTACTTACAATATTTTGAAAGGGAGGGTGTTCTTAGCTCCTGGCAATTTACTTTCTCAGCTACCTTTCTGCGTTTTTCCGCCTTGAGGCATACAGTCTGAAAGTAAAACAACATCAAAGCTCCTGATTAACACCATTTTCCTGCAATCAGAAGGCGAAGCTAGCTGGAACGTCTAATCTGGTGTTAGCGTTTATTTTCGAACAAAACAGTCAGAACAAAGTTCAAAAGAGACAGGGCAGTTATCTACGGGGGACTAAGGGAAAAGGGAAAGTGCAAGGAGTGATTTATGTTTCTGTCAAAACGCTGAAATGGATCAAATAAACCTTCTGTTTGCTACATTCTGTACTACTGCAGTGTGGATTGTAATTTCCGTCTCCAAACAACGGTTTGGGAATATGCAGCAATTAGCTCCTCTCACACCCCATTGCAAAGCATTCGGTTTTAAGAGAGTTTCCCCAACTTTTAGGTTCTTTGCAGGAGCCTGGGGTTTTTTTGTCTCCGAGCTGCTACTGCATTTTAAATGTGACCCTGTTCCATAAAAAGTCGTTTCTGTGTTGTCTGTAGTATCGGTTTTATTTATAGCAACAACTGTTTTTCTTGGTAAAAAAAATCCATATTTTAAGGGGTGGAACTGATTTTGATGTCTCTCAGAATGTCCACACCTGAAAGAAGTACAGCTATCTCAGTTAATACTGCTTGTATGAAAGGGCTGCAAACCCATGTATGTATCTGCTTTTTGAACTATGGGACAGTACACATGAACTAGATACTGCCAGTATTCAAGTGTGAGTGTGTACATAAGTGTGTAAATATCTATCTATCTATCTAAACACACACACAGATAATGTATATAGCTTTAAATGTATCTATGTATGTAACAACACACACACACACTCACGAATTTAACACGGCGGATTTCAGATAAGGAACGTGGTGGATCTTTGTTGCTAAAGTTCATTAGTGTTCTGCCCTAGTGCTTCAGCACCAGGAACAGCTCCCTTAAAATTGCAGAGTGATGCATTATTGAAAGACTGTATCAAACAGCTCTGGGGTGCAGCCTTTCTGTGCTGGGCTCTAGATGAAGTCTGACTGTCTGACTGCACAGAAGCCTCTAATATGTTAATGGCCGTAGGGGATGCCTAAGGTACCATCTCAAGCTGCTTCGCACACCATATGTCAGGCCGTTAGCCACATGGATCTATTAATCAAAGGGAGAGCAAAAGCGAGCTTTTAATACTCCACCCTATTTTACTATATTCTTCCTCCTTTAATTTTCTCCAATATAAAGCATAAAACTACCTAGAAGAGAAAGATGGAATTCTCTTTTTATCCAACCCTTTATAGACCCATTTATAGTTAGCGTTAAGGAGAGTAGGGTACCTTCACCCTGGCAAGGTTTAGTTTAAAACTCCTGCTCAACTTCTGTGATAAAGAAGATCTACATCCACCCACACAACAGAAGCGTCATATCCTAGAGAAGCCACCTCTGAAGGAAAGTATTTTAATAGCAACCTCGCTATAACCTCCTATTTCAAAGTAAACGGGCAGCTACAAATCTGAGCGGCCTTCCGCACTGTCCCTCAAACACCAAATATTCCATTGTAAAGCGTTATTTCTTTAGTTTGAGTCAGCTCTACGGTGAATACAATGGTTGAGCCCTAAGTGCTGTGTCCTCATGGGAAAAAGGGTATCAGTCTTCCCGGTTCAGTAAGTAGCGTGGTCCAAAGGAGAAGAAAAACAGCACCCTATACTTTTCAATATTGAAAATACTTTTAATATTGAAAACAACTTTCAAAATGTAGAGGAGAGAATTTCTGGTACATGTTGCTGCTTAATGTTACAAAACAGCGCTCCCCTAAGCACGTCCCTTATTCAGGGAGGGGAAGATAGCTGTGTATCCACGCCTGTAGCCTGAATGATTTGTACACGAGAGTATAGAGGAGCTCCTTTTCTGAGGAAAAGTAAGGCTCTTGCTCTGAACATCTGGTTTTAGAAAACGTTTGCAGGAGCGTGTATCCACACCCAAACTCGCACATGCTCCTCATAAATAATGTTACGCATATCGTAGACCTGACGTAGGTACACGGCACAACCAACAGTCATATAATAATTCCGCGACTCTTACACTTTTCCTTTTCTCTGATGATGAGTGAGAGGCCACATACCTTTTGCTCTTGCTTGTTCTAAATAAAGTGTTTTTTTAAAATCCAGTTTAGTCAAAATATGTTGTTGGAGAACACTGGATCCCAGGGACAGCAAGTTATTATGTGGAGGAAACGACGAAATCTCCTCCACATGCCATATAATGTAGTAGAATCGGAAAGGTTAGGTTTCCTCTTTAGGAATGTGTGTGCACAGACAACATATACAAAACATACACGTTGGGTATGTTCTTAAATACCCAGAGAGAAGTCGAGTGTATTTACCGATTAAGACACACGTGGGAATAGGGAAAACATCTAGAAACTACATTTATAATACGATTGTACAAAAACACACCATAATATATCTCATTAAAATACCATATATTAGTATCATATACTAGGGAGAGACAGCTTTGCGTGGGGAAGCATTTGGGACAATATCTGATGTATAAGCATAGTGCAGAGAGCATATTGGGTATAGGGTACAGTATGCTGAATAGATTATGTTGAAATCAAGCGTAAGAGACAAAACTAACTTCTGACATTTCTCCTCTTTGGTCTGAAAAATGGTTAGTGCATCTTGTGCTTAGACATAAAGTTACTGAGGTGACCGTCTTTAAGAACATGTTTCCTTTAATAAGATTTGATTTAACCTGTAATAGCCTGCAAAAATGTTAAAGCATTGCCAAGCAATATATTACATCAAGATGGAGATAAATAGATGGGTTGAGCTTCAATGATTCTGACTTTCAAACTACCTTGCTATGGAAAGGCACTTATTACCTTAAAAATTTGGTGCACACACCAACCATCATTTCCTTCCCCGAGAAGGTAACCCATCTATCTACCGCTTTAGGTTTCCAGCGCCTCGTAACTTAATTCCTTCAGGCTATTCATCAGCACAGTAATTAAACTAGCAAATGGATGTAAATAAAGTGAAATTGGTTTCATGACAGATGAGCCGAAGAGGCCTCTGACATGAAACAAGCCAGGACAATAATTATTTCTGCACCGGGCTCTATGAAGAACTCCATCTGGATTTATTAGGTGCTTCAAGTTATTTGCTGGGAGCAGGCAAGACAGGAGGATTCACGTTAATTTGACAGGATTTTTTGCATCCTAAATAGGTTACAGAAACATTAATCTAGAATTAACTTTATCGAAACTATAAGTAGGCCTAACTCTGTATCCAGAATAAAAACACCCTTCAATCAAAATAATTTATTAACCAGAAAGGGGCTAATTAAACTGTTTATTTTCCCAGTGCTCACTGAGTATCTACGTTGTAATTCAGGTCTCCACAGATTCCAGACCAAAATAATAATCCAGATTGTTTTAGTGGCCAATATATGTAACACTTTTTGGAAAGAGTCTTACCTTTTAAAAACCAACACAGCAGCAGCAATAGAGTGAAAGCAGAGTTATGTGAGTTTTTAAGAGCTCCTCTTCCCAAAAGTCATCGGCAATTACAGGCTCAGCCAAACCAAATCTGGTAGGCATCTGCTCCCACCTTTCTATGAAAGCAAAGTTTATACCCACAGAAAATAGGGACGCACAAGGATTCCAGGAAATGGGGGTGTTTGGACTCAACAAAGCTCAAGTGTAATTGGAGCCATCAGGTCCAGCCTGGAGTGGAAATAATATACAGAATAAATAAAAAAGGGCTCTCACAGCAGGTGGAGATTAGTTCTTTTTCCCCTGAAAAGATTAGAAACTGACTGCTTTACGCTTAAACGTACTCTCAATTATTTAAGCCCCCCTTCGTGATTAGCAAGTAAAAGTAATGCTCCAAAGCGCTGAAGAAACGAAGCAAGGATAACAGTGCTTTCCCACCACTCACGTAGGCTTTCCAGCACCGTGGCTAGCTCCCTGCCGGCTAACAAACACTCATACACGGGAACCCTCTCCGATACATACACCTGGAGGGGGTAAGGGGTGGGGAGGCGAATAAGGAGGGAGGCAATTTGAGCGTGAAAAAAATCCGCTCTCCCCCAGCCTGGGAGAACATCATTCTTGCAGAGGCGATTTGGACTTGTGAAAAGGATTCCCCTGTATGCTGAACCCTCAAATCCACCCCCCTGACAAAAGCTTTAACATGTTCTCAAAGGATGGGGGAGGGGGAGAGAAGGGGTGTGTGTCAAGATTCTGTGTCACCCACAGCAGTTGATTAGAGCTCAGATCTTTTGCAATGTTGTCCTAATAAAGCAACGCGCATTGTACATCCCCACTGTAAGGCGAGTGGGTAATTTTAAAGCCAGAGAGGGATTCTAAAGGAATTTATTTTCCTTTCTCTCTGGCTCTCTCCCTTTTAACCAGCACAGGAAGCTAATTATTTAAAAGTTCATGTAAAATTATAAGACAGAGCCCAGTCCTTTAATTAGAATACAGTATGAATAGGGGTAGCATATGGAGGAGAATGTCAAGAAGAGGGTGCCAGGGGCAGATCCTAGGAAATCTGTATTCATTTCTGCCTCCTATTTGTTCAGTAATCTCTGCCATCATAACTAAATCTTGGAGCACTGATGTAGTTCGAGTTGTTGTTGACTCAACGTCAAAATTCAATCACTGGGGGTTTTGCATCAGCCGGGCTACTTATTTGTCTAATAAATCCGTCATTTTGTAAGAAAAATATTTGAGCAGCCGCACTTGACCTCTTGGTATCCACAAGTCACATTTATTTCTACCAGTTTACAAATGCAAAATGGAGATGATCATCTAATGCCTCCAGGTACTGTGTTGATATCTGATTGGATTTTAGATGGAAATGTCTATTTTAAATACCCTGTGATTAAATTGTACATTTAATAGAATTCATGCCTTTCAAACGGAATCCTGATTTGCAACTTAAAATCCTGGGGGTTTAAAACATTATAGTTAACCATAAGTTTTTGTGCATGATTGATTATTTGTTAAACCCAAATGATAGGGTTTTATTAAAGCTGGATCTTTTTCACTGGAAAACTTATTCTGATCCTGGAATATTTCTGACTGAAGGGTGTCAGACCACACATCTGTATGAGATACCTGACTATTATGTGATAGTCTATATTGCGGGGTTACTGCGTTGATTTCAATGGGCAGTTATTAAAAAGGGGGCTATGCTGCCAAAGTTTGTTTAGAGTGTAAGGAAATAACTGTTACCATGGTACTTTCATTCATAGCCAAAACCAAGATCGCACTGTCCTAAAAGGGTGAGTCTCTTATCTGTGCCGGTGAATGAATGATTTCACCTCATAGGGCCAAATCCTGACGCCTACACTCCGATTCAGTGCTGATGACTTCGTAGGAACTCATCATATACAGTGCTCACTGTCCCATTTGGAGTTGGTTTCTCGAGGGCATAGCTTTTTAAAATGATAACGTGTTCATTTACCCCGTTAGGGTTAATGCAAGTGATGATCAAGCACAAAAAAGGCCGCGAACTCACTGGCTCGTTAATAGCCACTTTCACAACTAACCTTGATCCCGAAACGTCGCCCTCCGCTCTAAAGTTGGGTATCCCGTTCGTGACCAACTGCTGGGGCCTCAGTCAAACTGGCCTCCCTCAAAACACCAATCCGAATGAGAAGCGAGACAGAAGCCGGACTCCCAGCTGGTTTACATGGACTGAGCTCTGCAGAGGGGGGATACCCGAGCCCTGTCCAACGTGCCGGCTGGCTCAAACTCCAGCCTGGGGTGAGAGGTTTCCGCCTAGTGCTCAGGGTTGGTTTCATAGACTATCAGAGACTACCAGGGTTGGAAGGGACCTCAGGAGGTCATCTAGGCCAAGCCCCCGCTCAAAGCCCCTTGAGAAGATCGCCCTGAGAACCAGGCTGACAAGCTGCTTTAAAGTTGGCCCGTTGTCTTCTTTTTTACTACTCAAGGCAACCAACCTTTCCCTTGTCTGAGCTGAAAAGGGGCCGCACGGGTTTGGCGTAAGCCTCGCGGGCAAAGACAAAGCCTTGTCCAAGAAGAACAGGAAAGATCCCCCAACGTTAGGTTTCTGAGTCTTCCCCGTTGCAGTCTGCTCCTGGAGCACTGATCGCCCCCACGCAGGGTTGCCAGGGAAGGAACCGCACGGATCGGACAGGACTGAAAAGCCAGCTGACTAGCCGCCTGTCCCCCGGGTTCTTCGGGACCGTTCGGTGTTTTCAGAGACCGGGTCCAAGGCTTTCCCTCCCATCCCTCACCCAGGGGCAGCTGAGTGTCCCACCGACCCTAGTGGCTCAGTTTACTCCGTTCGTGCAAACTGGGGAGGGCGGGGGGGATGGGAGAGCGCAATGCCTTGGTAAGACTTTCCGAGCGCACGACCCCTGCTGCGTCTCGCCCTTTGGCGGGCTAGAGACGGCCACAGCCCAGAAACTCCTTCGCGGTGCACGGCTCGGCTCGGCGCGGATGCCGGCGAGAGCGCGCCTCGCGCAGCGCCTCCTGGCCCAGGCCGGGCTGTCTGGCGCCCGCCCCGTCGGCGCGGTGTGTAGGCCGAGGAGAGGTCTGGAAAACTAACGCTCCCTTAATGTCGTCCCTCCTCCCCCTTGCCGCGCTCCTCAGGGGGGAGCCAGGGAGCTGCCACCGCGGCCCATCTCGGCGGGCAGGGCCTGGCCGAAAGGGGCTGCCCGGGCAGGCAGGCCTTCCCCGGGAAAGTCTACGACCGAGCTGCTCTCCCGGCAGGGGCAGGCCCCCGCTGCAGGTTGCAATAGGCAACGCCGGTGCGGGAGAGCCAGCCGGCTCCAAGGGCGAACAAACTGGGAAGGATTGAAAACGTGCTTGCGCTTCTCAGCCCCGCTTTGCAAATCCCGGGAATCAAAGCGCTGCTGCTTCGCGCCACGCCGCTGCACCACAACCCGGGCCTCCGCTGCTTGTGTTGCAACCCCGTGGCCTCGAGCCTGTGCTACTCTTACTCGCACACGACTCGCCCTACCTCACCAGACTAGACCCACTGAAGGCAGCTGCATGGAGGGGTAAGGATTTTGGTCAGGTGTTTCTGCAGAACCTTGTCTATGCCCCACGGCGAGATCGGGGATGGGGGCGGGGGAGTGATAACCTACCAATACAAGGAAGTTCTTAGCAAGTGCGGTCCTATCTTTGTCCTGCGCTGGCATAGTATTGAACTGTACGCTCTTGAGGTGTAGGTACGAAAACCTAGCCCACTTGCTGGGAGCTGGAGCGCTCCTCAGGTACGAGGGATTGCCTTTACATTCGGGTCTATTAGCTCACTCCAGTTTTAAAATCGTTTTAGTCTTCCACTTGGAACTAATATTCGAAATCCGGAAGTAGCCAGGAATCCAGAGTCACTCGCCCAGAGGTGGCATGCTGGCCCCCTCGCAGATAGGTTTATCAAGTCAGGTAGTGGTAGTCAGGTAGTGATAACTCTAACTGAGAAGATGGAAAGTGAAGTAAACATATCATTCATTCCATTTAGCACCACTGACGGCAAAGTGTCTGAACAGATGTCCCATCTTCTTTAAAGGGGGGAAACTCAAAACTTGCACAGGCAGCCTCAGAATACAGGTTTTTGCTTTTTTTTATAATAGCTTCATATTGCCAACAAGCCATTCATTCCCAGTTGCTTTTCTTTTTAGAGTCTTTTTTGTGACTTTTTCCTGCGTTCTCCTCTTCAGCAACTTGTGAATGATCTGGAGGATCTATTGTTCCTAGGATAAATACAGACACAGTCTAACTTGTTTTCAGTAACAGAGCAGAAAGTATGTTAATATTAAAACAAATAATTGATTATCACCATGTCACTGAAGAGAGTCAGTAACATGTTACCTGGTGCCTTGTATCAATATAACAGCTAGAGTAGAAACCCTATTCTAGCTCAATCTGAATTTGGCATTCAGTTTCAAATGGCATGTATCAGTTCTGAACTCTTCAACCAGACCCCCAATTCAATGAAGGGGGGAAAGGTGAAATATTTCAGCATATTGAAAATATTGATGTTGGCCCATAGAAATGAATGTACTAAGCTGTAGTTATTAACAATGTATAGAGGCTTAAATCAATATAAATTAATTTAATTATGATTTCTAATTGCATTATGCATGATCAATTTGACACACTACATTAAAGATAATTAGAGAAGGACGCTAGTCACTAATCACTCCTCTAATAGCTTAATGAAAAGGAATGTCATATATTACCTGTGAGATAAATCTGTAAAAGAATATAAATGCTTATTTTTCAATAGAAAGTGTGGGGAAATAATTGTACATTTATTAGACATTTTAACAACTGTATTGTTAATGTATAATGGATTTCTATTTTTATTTTACATGGTCTTGGTTAAGTATTTATTAGTGTTGATTAAAGTGCGGGGGTGTTGTTATAGGACCATATATTGGGGACTTGAATGAAGCCTAACTTTTATGTAAAAATATCATGCTGTCCTCAGAAGCTTGTGCCAAGAGGTCAGAGTAGATGGAGGTCCTAACTTAGCATAATGGCTTTAACATTTCCATGACATCATCAGGGAATCTGAAAAGGAGTCTAAGGATAATCAGAGTGGTCATTCAGAAGACCAGTAAATATTTTATGAGGATATATAGAAGACAGGAAAGAAGGTGGTCAGAAAGGTGAATCTGTACTGCTTTGTGCTCTGTGAAGAAGGTTTTTCACTTGCTACCAATTTTGATTGAAACTCTGCACACGGTTAATAAAAGAGACTGAGCTTGACCCTTGGAAATCCAAACTCCAATTTGCTTTTAGTTGAGATCTAAATATATTTGTATTCATTGTAGCCTTTAGAGTGTAGTGATGATCTGTCTCCAAGCATTTATCTTACTTTTTAGCTTCACCTGTGCATGTACATGAGTCTACATTCACACTTCAGGTTGTGCTCTGTTACTCAGTGCTTTCCCATACTGGGCATAAAAGATGATTTACTGTTAAACTGACAACAACACAAATAAATGGATATATTTTTAGAATGGTAACAGGATTATGCCAGTGGATTAATTGAATATGCTCCTGCATTTGATTCCTTTTATTTACACACCTTTGACAAATAATGGAAACATTTCTTGCATCATACAGCATTTAACATCAAATCTTATCATAACCAAGTTTAAGAATGTTCTTTCTTTTAGGTCCCAATCAATGCTCACAAAGTGGTGAGCACTCTCAGCACTCCGATTACCTCCAGTGGCATTGATGCATGTATAAGAAGTGTGTAGAAAGTGCTGGACTGGGCCTTACAATTGTTGTGTATTGGCAAAGAAGTGTAACTTTTTCTAATGTAATGTTACCAGGAAAATTGTAATCATGGTTTTGAAATGCAAATACAGGAAGGCTGAGGCAGTGAATGATTGCAGAGATGTTGACTCTGGGGGATTTGTAACTTTTCTACTGTTAATAAACTCCCAGTAAAAAGTACACAACAGAACAGTTGTTCTTCAGATTCCATAGAGAGAAAGTATAAATAGAAATGGGCTCATGTTACAGCTCACTTCATAATCATTCCTAAATATTCCAAATGCAAGTAGGACAAATTGCAGCATCAGCTTGGTCAGAGTTAAGTTATTCACAGCTTTAGATGATGTGCCATAATTTCATACCCACAGCCCAAATTCAGGTTTCAGATCCGAAATCCATATAAAAAGTGATAGGGCCTGAACCTGCAGTCCTTGTTCAGCCCAAACTCCCATTAGGTTTAGTTCTGTACTCCTGAAAAGCTAGCGTAATCTGGATTTGCACAGGGAATGTCTTCTGGGTTTTGTAGTAATGCATTTGTCTCCAATCACCCAAACCAGGCTTAGGACACCAATGCAGCTTAGATACCAAGGTGACAGGCACCTTAAAATACCTGAGGCAGATAGATGGCAATGGCTACTATAGCACATAGTCAGTAGTATCAGCCACAGCTACCATGACTCTCCTACATGTCCATGAATCTGGCTAGTGGGTTCACTGCCATGCCCCCTCCTCTGCCCTAACCTAAACCACATCTACTGGAGCAAATATCCATGTGCCATTGCTCCACAGCATGTGGGGAGTGTGGAGATTTCCTGCATGGCTTTTCCATGGCCAAAGAACCCACAAAGGAGGGACATAGTCTCTTGAATTTACTTGATTTGCCTGAATAAGGGCAGGAGCACTGTATATAGACACATTTGCATATGGTTAATTTTATTTGTGGAAGGTGAATATCAGTGTCTGGCTGTTTTAGGACCTGGTCCTGCACTGAAGTTAATGGGAGTTTTGCCTGAGAAATGAGTGCATGCTTAATGTGCATTGTGGGTGAAATTCACCCCTGCACAGAAGGCACTTAAGCACCACCCAAACCTCATTTTGAGTCCTATTTTGAGTGGCTAACGTGGGACTAAAGTGGTGTTCTGCATGTTGGCTCTCTGCACAAGGTTGAATTTCATTCTGGGCTCAACTCTTAAACAAAGGCCAACATTTTCAAAAATATTAGCTTTAGTTAAAATCTAATCCCATTTCAATCTTCAACCGGAACTATTGAGCACTCAGCACTTTTGAAAATTTGGCGATCTATTTAGGAGCCGAATTATGGATTCAGGAGTTTGACTTTAAGAACACATTTGAAAATCTGGCCCGAGTGCTTTTTATGCCCAGCATAAAGTCACTTTTGTTTCTAATAAGTAAACAAACAAACAAATAAATAACTACAGCTTCTTGAAACAGTTTATCTTCCAAAATTTTTGTACTGTATTAGCTGCCTATCAAATTATGGCTCCCCCTTTCTTGTTTTATATTTGCACAGTTACTGAATATTGCCAGGTAATTATTTTTGGCTAGTGTGTTAGCAGAAACTTTAATAAAGTCTTTGTTTTTTAAAACATCAACATTAAAGTGGCAGTTTTGCTCCACAGTAGTAGGGCTAAGTACATTCTGATCGGTGGTACATTTTAGAAGTACTCAAAGAGGATAATTGTGTCTGACCGTCTTGTCATACCAATCCTGGCGGTGAACTGCAGTGCTCTGTATGTGAATATATTTGATTGCAACTCAACAATTTTTGAAAATTAAAACTATGCACAGACTGTACTGCATTATCAACTAATTGGACATCATGTCTCATGATTTAATATAAATGTACAGCACTATGTTAGAGAAATTTTTAAATAATATGAAGCAGTAAGAGTGAAGACCCTCTTTTTTCTGAGAAGGTCTCTTACGCAGCCAGGGGAGACTAAAGAAGATGACAATTTTAGCATCTAAATAAATATTAAGATTGGGGAAGGGTTGTGCTTATTTTTATTCTTTAAAACATTGTTAATAGATCTCAGTTTGGCATTGAAAATATTCGGCACATTGCCCTGGTCTCACCTATTTAACCCTGATTGCAATGTTTAAATAAATACTTCTTTTGTATTAGGGATTTGAGACAAAAAGTATCTATATGAAGGAGATGTAGGGTGTATGTGGTGAACTTAACCTGGTTCAAATCCACTACACTGAAATCCAGGTACAGAAATTGTAGCAACCAAATATTTGGTCGAATTGAACCCCTGAATTTGTCTGTTTTTGAATCGAGTATGATGCAGGACGCCAAACAAAGAAAGGGCAAGAACGCAGAGCTTATACATATCTACATGAAAATGTAGAAACATTAAAAAATAAATTGGATTAGGAAATAGATGAATATAATGACCTTCCTTACTCTCAATCATATGCTGCCAGCTAAGTGTTTGAGTCTGAAAAATTGCACTAATGAAGCTATTTGAAGGCTTTTGTGGACAACTGCTTCCTCTTTGAAGATTAAATGAATGATGTTGATGTGATTAATCTTAGTACAGGGAGTGATGCAGCAGCCAGAAAATACCTTGGTGATTTTCATAATTAAACTGAATCAACATTTCAAAGAAATGCCAGTGTTATCACTTGTATATTAGAATTACATTCATTAGACAGAAGAAACAAATAATTTGAGCAAACAAGATTTTCCTTTTGGTGTACTGAGACTTCTGTCATGTCTCAGAGTCTCTTACTATAAATCATCATTACTGTTTAATTTTAGCCTTGCTTTTCAGTTACTTGTTTTCTATTTATTTTTTCCTTAACAGTCCTAATGATTCATAGTTACTTGCTTCCTGCTTAGTTATTTTCAGTACCAAATAGTTTCTCTCAGTCTTCAGCTTAAAGTTGGCTGTATGGTTACTTTAGCATCATGTTTCAGTCACTGTCCTTTAAAAATGATGTAAATACTCACTGGTTTATATTGCTAATGGAATGAGCCATCCCAGCAAGAGCTCTGGTTTGATAAGGGTTCATCTATAAAGAATGGAACAAGCCCCACAATGTACAAGAAACAGACGTGACAACAGGCTTCATGCAAGACTGAAAACACAAACAATATATCACCGCAATCCATGGAGATAACACTGTGAGCCAGATTCTGCTACCCTTACTCATGCTGAGATACTTCAAGAACAGTCCCACTGATTTAATGCACCTGCTTGGGGGGAAAGGTACTATTCAGTGTAAATAAGAGAAGCAGAACCTGACCCTTTATGATTAGTTTAAATGTTTTATCAATAACATTTCATGGTCTTTTATTATATAAAGTTAAAAGATTGCAAGAACATAACCATTTTTAGAGTATTTGGCAATGTAAGAAACATAAAGTATAAAACATCCTTCCCAACACATACACACACATGCACGTACACGCACACGCACACACACTTTG